CAACATTGTACTTCATGGCAGACTTGATATGTTCTTTCTGGTGATGAATTGAATGCAGTGTCATTTGTCTTCAATTTGGCATTCTCATCATAATAAACCACGTGTTTGTCAGATTCAAAATGGCCAATACCAGACCATTTCAGCTTACTGATAATGTCTAGGATATTGATGTTTATGTGTTCCATTTCATTTTTGACAGTTTCCAATTTGCTAGATTCATATTTTCAGCATTCCATGTTTTGATTATTAATAGATGTTTACAATTGTTTCTCTTTATTTTGAGTTGTGCGCCATCAGCAAATGAAGGTCCCGAAGCCTTTACTCCATTCATGCCGTCACAGTCAGTTCTACTTTGAGGAGGCAACTTTTCCCCAGCTGTACTTTGAGTGGCTTCCAAACTGAGGCCTCATCTTCTGGCACTATATCTGACAATATTTTGATGCTCTTCATCATGTTTCAATATTCAGTATTCTGGTGCTAACATTGTTTCTTTGCCGTTCATAAGGTTTTCAGTGACTGAATATTTGGAAATAGTCCATCTCTCCTTCCTAGTCTGTCTTCTTCTGGAAGCTCAGCCAAACTTGTCCCTTTTGGTGACCCTGCTCGTATTTATACACCTGTGGCATAGCTTCCAGAATCATAGCAACACGCAAGCCACCACAGTAGACAAAAACTGAAAGACGAGTAGTGGATATTTTCCTGTATGTTCTGTTTTTTACATCGTTTTCAAACTTTTCAACTGTATTCACCTACATCTGTCTAATTTAAACTTAATTTATGAAACTCATAAGAATTTGGATGGTATAACCAGAGCAAGTTTTAGCAGAGTTAATCCCAGTCTTTACATAAGGCGCAAGACGGAAAGTCATTTTCAGAGTACGTCATACATTCATATAAAATATGAGAAGTACATTTTTCTTTTAATAAAGTCTTTCATTCATTCTTTCGGCAAGCATTTATTGGGTACTTATTATGTGCCCTGGTGGTGGACTGCTAACCAGGTCAGCCGTTCAAACCCAACAGTTACTCCACAAAAGAAAGATAAGGCTTTCTGCTCTTGTAAAGATGTACAGCCTCAGAAACCCTATGTAGGGTTGCTAAGAGTTGGAATGGACTCAACAGCAGTGAGTCTGGTTTTACCTTTTATGTTGGAAGCACTATTCTAGGTGGTAGGGACTCGATAGAGAACAAAGACAAAAATCTCTATCCTCAAGGAACGTAACATTGTATTGGTGGAAGACAATAAAATAATTAAGTTCCGTAGTAAGTTATGGTGTTCTGGTGTGGTGGTGCAGGATAAGCACTGGACCGTAGGTCAGTTTGAACTATCAGAGTCCGCGATTTAAAGTCATCTCCTCCGGAAACCCTATGCAGGGGCACCATGAATTGGAATCAACTCAACTCAGTGGCACTTAACATCAACAACAATAGTAAATTAAAAGGTGATACATGCTATTAACAAAAGCAAAGCACAGGGAGAGCCAGGACAAGGGTGATTACAATTTATATCGTATGCTTAGAGAAGACCTCACTGAGCAGGTGGCATTTGAGCGGGACTGGATGGTGTGGGAAAGAATGATAGGAATATATGGGGTAGGCAGAGGGCATGGAAGTGTAGTGGCCCTCAGGTGAGAATGTGTTTGGCATATTTGAGGAGTGATGAAAAAGTGTGGCTGAAGTAGAATGGGCCAAGGGAAGAAGTAGCAAGCAAGGAGATTGAAGAGTTCACAAAAGGCCTGATGGTGCAGAATCCTTAAGCACATTGTGAGGGCTGTTGTTCTGAGATAGGGTTTTAAGAGGAGTGATGATATGAGTTTAATTTTATAAGGGTCACTCTGGCTACTGCTGTGAGAGACTTTGCAGAAGCCTGTCAGGAAATTGTGGTACCTTGCATCTGTGTGATAGCAGAAGAGGTGACTAGAAAGGCTCAGACTCTAGATACATTTTCAAGATAAAGTCAACAGATTTTCTGGCTGCGTGTGCTTGTCTGTCTGTGTGTGTGTGTAATTGAGCAGGACTCCCAAGGTTCAAGGTTTTCATCCAAAGGAACTGAAGGAATACATTGTCACTACCTGTGTTGGAAGATTGGAGGACTCAGCGGAAGTGGGGAAAGCAAGTTTGGGAGGAGGAGGGAAGGCCAGGAGTTCAGGGATAAGAAGTTCTTTTGTACTGTTCAGGTAGATCAAAATGCCAAGATAGTGTGCACATCTTCCTCAGTCCATTCCCCATTCTAGTGAATTTGACTGTGTTTTTGATAGACTCCCCATTCTGGATGATTATAGTCCAATTAGTCTGTTCATTCCAGTTTTATTCAATGTACTTTGCCTAATATAAGGGTAAGTCAAAAAGTATAGGTAGGAAATCATAGAAACCTTTATTAAACAAATGATCAAAATGTGAAGTTATTATTTCTTGACATATCCGCCATCTAGATCTGTTTCTATCTCTGTAATCTTTCCCTGAGGAATTCTGCCTTCTTTGATTTCCATCAGATCAAAATGACAGCTTTGATTGACATCCTTGAGGGACTCAAAATATGTTCCTTTGAAATGTACTTTGAGTTTTAGGAACGCAAAGATGCCAGGAGGGGCAAGATATCAGGGCTGGAGGATGAAATGGGGTAATGATCCCCAATGAATTTAGCATAGTCCTTGCTACCCTTTAAGAATGAGCAGTGCATTGTCGAAATGGGAGAAAAAAAGTTTCTTCAGCACAACTTTCCTGGCCTTTTTCTCACCAATGTAGTTTTCAGTTTTCTTAAGACTTATTTTAATTTGCCCCTGTGATTGTTATGGGCCCTTTGAGAAAGTCTATCAAAATTTGGAATCCCCAGAAGCAGTCACCATCACTTTCTCAACTGACCTCTCTGAATTTAACTGGCTCAGCAAATCCCTGGGAACCCACTATTTTGACTAGATATTTTGTTGTTGTCGTTGTTGTTGAAGACAGTGAAAGTGTATTGAGAACTTCTTTGAAGTCATCTACTGATCACAGAGACATATTTAAACATGTCTTATTTGGAATAAGCCTGTGTTTGTATGGACTGGAGTCCTAGTAGCAATACTTTTAGGCTTACTGTCTAAGACTAGATCTCTAAAAAAGGCAAACATATATTCCAGTACCTCATTACTAATGTTCTAAATGAAATTCCAGGACCCCATTACTAAGGCTCTAGACAAAAGTTGGAGTCCTGGTGTGGCACTATAAGGTAAACTCTGGACTTCTAACTGTAAGGTTGGTGGTTCAAACCAACCAGCCACTCCTCAGAAATGCTGTACAGAGTTGCTATGAGTCAGAAGACTCACCTACACATACCAACATCTACAAAGTGTTTATCATCTTACTGGATTTTTTTTCTTCCTATCCTATCGAAGAGAGTAGAAAAAGCCTCAGACTTGGCAGTTTCAAAAGCATTTTCTGCTGGAAATTCAGTTTTACCCAGAAGGCACTGGAGCCAAATCATAAATTTGGAAACATCTGAGCAAGTAAAGGATCATGATGAAGCCTATGCAGAAGGTAAGATAATACTTTTTTCCCTGCAATGTTAACAGTTCTTTGGAGTACAGTTTGTTAAAACATAATCCATACGTATGAAGAGGCTTCAAACAATTCTTCCATGAACTTCTTAAAGTCCTTCATACTTCATACTACAGAATGGAAGCCTTTCTTTTTCTCCTCTTTAATTTTGGTTTCTTCCTATAGCCCTGGAACTAACTTACTCTAGCACGAACTCCAGTATTACAAGTAGGGATATCTTGAAAGCCAGTTTTGTTTCCTGAAATAGAACCCCATCCAGAGGCAGTTTGACTTAACACAATCAACTGGTTAAGTGTTAAAGGTAATAGTCCTGCAGCACAGATGTTAGCTTGTTAGTATTATACAGATAATTTGACCATTATTTTCAACTACCTGATTCACTTATTTTCTAATTTATATAGCATGCATCCTTCTCTTGAAGGCCCATTTCCTGAGAGCTAGTTGATAACAGTAATAACAATGATGAAAGCAATCCAAAGTAGACATTTTCCTTTGAAATCCCATGCTCTTACTGTTTAACAATGATGAAGGAAATGCGAAAGCAGAATTTTTTTCCATTCCAATATATTTTACGGAGATTTTCCAACTATCGGTAGGAAAGCAATCCAAATGGAACTGGCTTTCAGGATTTTCTTTCTGCCTCAGTTGGGCAGTCCTTCTTAATCTGCTTTACTGGTTCCCATAATCTCTTTTATCATCATTATTATTATTATTATTATTGTGAATTGAGTGAAGGTTTACAGATCATCAGTCCCACATTCAACAAATTATACACTTTGTGTCATTACAATGATTATAATCCACTCTGTGTACTATCAGTTATTAGTATTTACCTCTATTCACTCTATTTTCCTTCTCTTCCTCCCCTCCCCACTCTGTATCCATCATAGAACGTTTATTTAGCAAGAAATCTTTTCTTAACTTATTACAACAGTGGTCTCATGTAATATTTGTCCTTTTGTGATTGACTAATTTCACTCAGCATGAGGTCCTCCAGTTTCATCCATGTTGTGAGGTGTTTTGCAGATTCTTCAGTATTGTTTAATATTCCATTGTGTGTATGTACCAAAGTTTGTTTAACTATTCTTCTGGGGTTTTAAAAAAGTTTTTATTGTGAATTATGTGATAGTATACATGGAAGAACATTAGCTTTACATTCATCCTGTTGTATTTCATTTCACTGCAATTATTAAAATCCCCTCCATGCATCAAACAACCAAAGGGTATACCCCGCAAGAGTGCCCCCCAGTCGCCAGCACACAGCCACTCTCCCTCCCTGAGTCCAGAGTCCCCAAGCCGCTCACTCCTCTTTAGCCACACTGGTCTCCTTGTTATTTTTTCAGCTCTCTAGACACACTGCTTTTGGGGCTCTGTGCACTTGCTTTTTCTTGAATGAAGTAATATTCCGTCACATGCCCTCGTAGCTCACCTCATGTCCTTCTGTTCACAAATGGCTTCTTTTCAGTGAAGCTTTCTTTGACCACCTGATTTAATATGGCAACACTCATCATCCATTGTACTACTTCTCTCCTTTCCCTGCTTTGTTTTTCTCTGACTTAATTATTTATTGACTCTCTCCCCAAGTGTCTTTTCATGCTGGCAGGGTTTTTTATTTGTTTATTTGTTTCCCCCTGTTTTGTACACTGCTATACAGTCGTGGTGTAGCACTGTGGGTTAATGCGCTGGGCTGCAAGGTCAGTTTGAATTGCAAGGTTGGCAGTTCAAGCTCACTAGCCACTCCTCAGAACAGACTTGATGGCACTTAACAACAATAACACCATATCAGTATTGCCAGCATCTAAGTGTGGCACAGTAGGATAAGGGATAAGCACTTGACTGCTAATCACAAGATTGGTTCAAACCCACCAGCCACTCTTCGGAAACCCTATATATGGTTGCTATGAGTCAGACCTGACTCCACAGCACTTAACAACATTACTTAACACATGATGGAGGTCGTGCTGGTTGTGTACCCAGTAGCTGATCTCAACTCATAGTGACCTTGTATAGGGTTTCTGAGGCTGTGAATCTTTATGGGAGCAGAAAACATTCATCTCTATCCCACTAATACAAATTTTGGTTGTGAATATTTATTGACAATTTCTGAATGCTTGTTGAGTAAAGGAAAACAGTGAATGAAGAAAGTCTCTACAGTAATTAAAACATTAAAAAGATCTTTTTGTTTTAATGATAGCTCAGAAGCTGGTCAGCGATTGGCTCGACACAAAACTTAAGCAAGAAGTAGCCAACAATGGAGCAGCTTATGCTGAAGGCACTGTGTCATGTGTTGCTCCTTGGCCAGAAGCCAGTGGCCTTTTGAAATATGACAGGTTTGATGGTAAGAACTTATCTGCTTACTCTAAACTTTAACATTTAATGAAAAAAGTCCTTTTTACTATTTTGAATTGATTGAACTTTTCTCTGCCTTGCTTAGATCATAGCTTTGTTATTACCTTTAGGTTTTCTTGATTGAATGTAAATTATTTATCCTAGATCATCAGTAAATTGATGGTGGTTTTTAAATTAAAATGTTGTACTTTTTAAAAATTTGCCTTATGATTTTAATATGTTGTTGTTGTTAAGTGCCATTGAATTGGTTCCAACTTATAGCAACCCTATTGTATAGGGTTTCCCAGGAGCAGCTGGTGGATTTGAACCACTGACCTTGTGGTTAGCAATCCAGTATTAATCCTACAGCACCAAACCAGGACTCCCTGATTCTAATATGGTGGTGGTAATAGTTATATGCTGTGGAGTCTGTTCCAACTTACAGTGATCCTGTATTGGTTTTCTGAGGCCTAAATCTTTACAGAAGCAGAAAGTCTCATCTTTCTTCCATGGAATGACTGGTAGATTCGCACTGCTGACCTTGTGGTTAGCAGCCCAGCTGGAAACCAACTATACTACCAGAGCTCCTTTTATTATATTTTATAGCCATTAATTCTGCTTGAGAGGGCATCTTCCCCTTATATTACTGGATGGCTATTTACTTTGGAAGTTCTGGTGTGGTGCTGTGTGTCTGTGGTTCAAACCCACCAGTCACTCTTTGGAACCCCTATACAGAGTGGCTATGAGTTGGAATTCACACAATGATACTTAACAACAGCAACAATTTACTTTGATAGGAGCTCTGGTGGCATAGTGGTTAAAGTACTTGACTGCTAAGCAAAAGGTTGGTGGTTTGAACCCACCAGCCACTCCACAAGAGAAAGCTCTAGCAGTGTGCTTTCATCAAGCTCTACAGCCTTGGACACCCTACAGGGCAGTTCTGCTCTGTCCTATATGTCAGGTCACTGTGCGTCAGAGTTGACTTCATACCAGCGGCTTTGTTTGACATGGTTTGAGATGCTATTTAAACTTTTGTGTAACATTTTGTATTTACACAATACTTCATATATCTTTATTAGTCACTATTTATAAGGAAAGTTATTAGTTTTCTAGTATTTTTTTCTTTTTGTTTTCAAAATACCACTAGAACGTACAGACTTTTGTCAGACAAGTTAAATGGCTACTTTGTGAGAGTTCCTACAAAGCTTCAAAGCACCCAGACATTTGGGGTGTTTTCCTGAGTATAAAAGTAGAGTGGTGGTGGCAGCTTTCCACATGTCAGACACAGTTGATGAGCCCACCTGGCATGATTCCCCTGGTGATTTGGGACTCAACAAAATCCTCAGCTGGGGGATCAGAAAGTCCAAAGCTCTTAATGTTAGAGGAGTCCTTCAAGATCGCCTACTCATTCCTGAGGAAAGAGATGGGTCTACAATGTCCTTAACATGGATAATATAGTCTCTCCCTGAACATTGCCTGGGAAAGGAAGGCTGCTACTTTTGAGAGGACCCCATTCAACTTTTTTGAGGCTCCAGTCTTCATCGCATCCTGTCTTAATTGTTGTTATTAATAATTATTGTTGAGTAAGGTCTGACTCATAGCGACTCTATACACAACAAAACTTGCACCATCCTCAAAATGTTGTCATGTTTGTGCCCCCTGTTACAGCCACTGTGTCCTTCTATCTTATTGGGGATTTTCCTCTTTTTAGACAAACCTCTACTTTTCCAAGCATGATGTTCTTTTCCAGGGATTAGATAACATGCCCAAAGTATATAAGATGAAGTCTAACCATCCTTGCTTCTAAGAAGCATTCAGGCTGAACTTCTTTCCAGACAGATGTATGTATCCTTTTGGCAGTCCCTGATAGTTTCAAGAATGAAAGTTTTGCCCTCAGTAACTTTAACCTTCAGTGCAATACAAAAAAAAAAAAAAAAATTTTTTTTTTTATTTTAATTTAAAGATGCTACTTGTGGTTTTGGTTAAAGGTTTACGCAGCAGTCTACCCATTCAACAATTTCTGCACAGGTTGTTCAGTGATGCTGGTTACATTCTTCATAATGAGTGAATAGTTTTCATTATTTCTGCTCTGGCTCTTCCATTTCTATTTCACTTTCTTGCCCCCTTACATTCGCATCTGTTGTAAAGTAATTGTTGACCATTTGGTCTCATATCGGTGATTTGTTAGAGTATAGTACTTATGGGGATGGGATATTCATTATTTTTTTTACCCACAATGAAAAATATCTTGGTCCCTTCCTCAAAAACAGTCTTTTTATTTTTTTGTAAAAAGTTGTAATCGTATCTGATCTGTCATATATTGATGTTCCCAGATTAAATAGCACAAGTACTTTCAGCAGTTCTCTATATCGCATGATTCTAGTTCTCCATCATCCTTCTAAGTATTTTCTACGTTGTTAATGTTTTAATTAGGTGGAGGAGGAGTTTTCTAATACTCATTCATTTGTTTTGAAGCATATACATAGTATATAGTAAAATTATTAGTTTCTTTTATATAGGGTTAAAATATTGTTTCTGTGGTTAGGTGACGTTGAGGTTCCCAGTTATATTGACCCTGTATAGGGGGGTTTCATAGGTTTTTTTTTTTAAGTTTTTATTGTAAAGTGTCTGTTAGTTTACATGGGTGAACATTATCTTTACATTCATTCTATCATATTTTGCTCATTGCAATGATCACAATCTCCTGCATGCATCATCAAACAACCAGAGGGTATCAGCTGGATACTTTGTACTCCATTCTAGTCCTCTGGGGCCATGACCCTGCCCCTGGGCCAAGGAATCCCCAGGTCTCATCATACTGCTGGTTAACCAGGTCTCAATCCAGGTTAACAGGAGTCTATTAAATGTGGTCAGACTTAGTTCACAACTTCATTGCTGTTTTCCCCCACTTACCCTTATCGGTGACCAACATGGTCAGCAGCAGGACCATATGCCTGCTAGTGTATTCCATTTGAGTTTCTGTCTTGGAAGGGGCTTTGCCTTGGGGGGACCTGACCACTTGCCTTGATGGCTCCCTGGGGAACAACTTGCTTGTTCTTGTAGTAGTCAATTGGACTGCTGTTAGTTTTTTATTTTTTCTGCTGGTCTTTCTTTCAAGAAGTATCTTCTGTTCTTCTAGCTGCTACAGACTGGTCTGCTTCTCCTTTCATAGGTTTTTAATCTTTTGCAGAAGCAGAAAGCGTCCTCTTTCTCCCACAGAGTGGATGGTGGGCTTGAACCCCTGACCTTGTGGTTCTCTAGGAAATTATACCTATATTGACTTTAACTTGGCTATTAGACATTGGACTGCTAACCACAAAGTCAGCAGTTCAAAACCACCAGTTGCTCCAGTGCCGCCTCACTTTATTGAAAGATTTCAATTTGTATTCCATTAATTCCCAGTGCCTTATTCTTTGCCAATGTCTTCAAGGCACCTTGGACTTCTTCTTTCAAGATCATTGGTTCTTGATCATTATGTTACCTCTTGAAATGGTTGACTATCAAACATTTGTTTTTGGTACGGTGACTCTGTGTTTTCCTTCCATCTTCATTGATGCTTTCTGCATCGTTTAATACTTTTCCCATAGAATCCATCAATGTCACAAGTCAAGGCCTGAATTTTTTCTTTGGTTCACTCAACTTGAGAAATACTGAGTGTATTCTTCCCTTTTGGTTTTATAACTGTAAGCCTTTGCATATTTCATTATAACATTTGACTTTATCTTTTCGAGCTGACCTTTGAAATTTTCTGTTCAGCTCTTGTATCACCTCACTTCTTCCATTTGCTTTAGAATCCCTATGCTGGAGAGTAAGGTTCGTAGTCTCTTCTGACATCCATTTTGGCCTTTTCCTTCTTTCTGATCTTCTTAATGACCTTCAGCTTTCTTCCTATATGATGTTCTTCTGGTCTTTGGTCTTTAGTATTTAATGCATCAAATGTTCTTCAGATGATTTCTAAATTCAGGTAGAATATGTTCAAGGTCAAATGACGTATTGCATTAGGCATATCTGCTACACAAGACCATTTTAAAGTGCTGAAGAGCAAAGATGTCAGCTTGAGGACCAAGGTGCTGCTTACCCAAGTCATGGTATTTTCAGTAACCTCATATGCATGCAAAAGCTGGATGGTGAATAAGGAAGACAGTAGAAGAATTGATACTTTTGAGTTATGGTGTTAGAGAAGAATATTGAAAGTGCCATGGGCTGCCAAAAGAACAAACAGATCTGTGTTAGAAGAAGTGCAGCCAGAGTGCTCCTTGGAGGCCAGGATGGCGAAACTTCGTCTCTCATACTTCGGACATATTGTCAGGAGGGAACATTTGCTGGAGAAGGAATCATGTTTGGTAAGGCGGAGGGTCAGAGAAAAAGAGGAAGACCCCCAATGAGATGGATTGTCAAAGTGGCAGCCTCAATGGGCTCAAGTGTGGCAACAATTGTGATGTTGGCCCAGGATCGGGCAGTGTTTCGTTCTGCTGTGCATAGGGTCACTATGAGTTGGTACCGACTCGACAGCATCTAACAACAACAACAACAACAATAATGTTCAAGGTTATATTTTGGGTTTTGTGGACTTGTTTTAGCATCAGCTGAATTTGTATGTGAGTAATTGATGGTCTGTTCCACAGTCTGCCCCTGGTCTTTTTTTGGCTGATGATATGGAGCTTTTCTTCTGTCTCTTTCTTCATATGTAGTTAATTTGATTTCTGTGTACTCCATTTGGTGAGGTCCATATATTTAGTTGTCTCTTATGTTGTTTAAAAAAGGATTTGCAATGAACAAGTCATTGATCTTAGAAAAATCTGTCATTCCCTCTCCAGCAAAATTTCTATCACCAAGGCCATATTTTCCAGCTAATGATTTTTCCTCTTTGTTTCCAACCTTGCATTCCAATAGCCAGTAATTATCAATGCATCTTGATGGAGTGTTTAATCAACTTCAGACCAAAGAAGGTGGCTGAATTCTTCAGTTTCATCATCACTGGCTTTAGTGGTGGATGTGTAAATTTGTAATGTGTAAATTTGTATTAACTGGTCTTCCTTGTAGGTATATGGACATTATCCTATCACAGCATTGTACTTCAAGAGAGATCTTGATATGTTCTTTTTGATGATGAATGTAACACCATTCCTCTTCAATTTGTCATTCCCAGCATAGTATACCATGTGGTTGTCAGATTCAAAATTGCCAATACCAGTCCATTCAGCTCATTAATGCCTAGGATATCAATGTTTATGAGTTCCATCTCATATTTTACAATTCCCAATTTTCTTAGATTCATAGTCCGTACATTCCATGTTCTGATTATTAATGGATGTTTATAGTGGTTTCTCTTCATTTTGAGTTGTGTCCTATTAACAAACGAAGGTCACATCATCACGGGCAATTCTACTTTGAGGAGGCAACTCTTCCCAGTCACACTCTGCGTGCCTTCCAACTTGAGAGCCACATCTTCCAGCACCATATCTGAAACTATTCTTGTGCTCTTTGTCATGTTTCAGTATTCAGTATTCTGATGCTGACAGTGTTCCAGTGCTATTCATAAGGTTTTCAATGACTAAATATTTGCAAGTAGTCCTTCTCTTCTTCTTCCTAGTTTGTCTTCATCTGGAAGCTCATCTAAAACCTGTCCACTGTTGGTGACTCTGCTGGTATTTAAAATACCCGTGGCATAGCTTCCAGAAACACAGCAACACTCAAGCCACCACAGTACAACAAACTGACAGATGAGTGGTGGATAAAATATTGAGAATAAAATCATTTAAAATCTTGGTGACCTTGAGTTAGACTGAGAAATATTAGTTATGATACCAAAACCATGATCCATGAAAGAATTAATTGATAAATTGGATTTCACCAAAATTTGAAACTTATATTCTTCAAAAGAAATCTTGATGTGGCTTGAACCCTAAGATTGGTGTTTCAAATTTACCAGCCACTCTTCAGAAAGTCTACATAGGGTCACTATGAGTTGGAACTGACTTGACAGCATGTAACAACATTAACAACAACTCTGTGAAAAACACTGTTAAAAGAGTAACAATAAAAGTCACGAACTGACACAAAGTATTTGAGAAGCATATATCTTGTAAAGTACTTATATCCAACATATATGTAAGAATTCTCAAAAGACAGTAATAAGAAAATAAATAACCCAATTTGAAAACCAGGCAAAATATTTGAATAGACCCTTTAAATAAGAGATACAGGTGGCAAATAGTAACATGAAAAAATGATAAATATTGTTGGTTGTTGTTGTTGTTAAGTGCCTTTGAGTCTGTTCTGACTTATAGCAACCCTCTTGTATAGGGTTTCTCAGGAGCGCCTGTTGGGTTTGAATCACCAACCTTTCTGTTTGCAATCTAGTATTTATCCTACATCATCACAGTTAGGGAAATGCTAATTCATATTACAATGAGTAATTAGTGTTGTTGCTGTTAAGTGCAATTGAGTAAGTTTTGACTCATAGCAACCATGTATAGGGTTTTCTAGGAGCAGCTGGTATGTTTGACCCACCGACCTTGCGGTTAGCAGTCTAGTGCTTATTCTGCAGCTCCACACCAGCATTCCTATGTGAATTTAATACACCAGAATTTAATATTACAAATGTATTCAAATGGCTTCAATATAAGTCAGACTGTACCAAGTATTGGTGTGACGCTGTAAGAGAAGTACTGGACTGCTAACTACAAGATCAGTATTTCAAACCCACCAGCCGCTTCTTCAGAAACCTTATACAGGGTCGCTATGAGTCAGAATGAACCAATTGTGGTAGATTTATACAGTGGAATACTACTCAGCAATACAAGAAATAATCTACTGATACACACAACATGCGTGAATCTCAGAATAATTGTGCTGAGTGTAAGAAGTCAAAACAAGAAAACATAATGTATGATTTAATTTATATATATAAAATTGTAGACAATGAAACTAATCTATACTTGTTTTTGTTGTTGTAAAGTGCCTTTGAATAAGTTCCAACCCATAGCGACCCTGCATAAGGTTTCTGAGTAGCTCTTAGTGGGTTTGAACCTTTGACCTTATGATTCAAACTGAACTTACAGTCCAGTGCATTATCCTGCAGCACTATACCAGGCCTAACATAATGGAATATGGTTCCTTGAGGCAGGATGAGGCAGGGGAAGTGCTCAGGGAGGATTGAGAGAAAGATTGCAAATCTGGATTGAGGACACGTTTGGGGCTGTTGGACATGTTCACTATCTTGATTGTGGTTTTATTGGGAGCTCTGGTAGTGTACTGGTTACGAATTGGGCTGTGAACCTTAGAGTCAGCAGTTCGAAACTACCAGCTGCTCTGCGGAAGAAAGATGAGGCTTTCTGCTCCTGTAAAGATTTATAGCCTCGGAAACCCTGTGCAGGGTCACTATGAGTCAGAACTGACTCCATGGCACATAACCAACACCACCATATGTGTGTCTGTGTGTGTATATATATATATATATACATCGCTGTGGGTTAATGTGCCAGACTGCAAAGCTATTTGTACTGCAAGTTCGGCAGTTCAAGCTCACCAGTTGCTCCTCAGAAACCCTATACAGGGTTACTGTGGGTCGGAACTGACTTGACGGCACTTCACAACAACAACAATGTATATATATATATGTCAAAACTTATACTGTATACTTTAAATAAATGCAGTTTATTGGGTGTCAATTATGCCTCAATAAAACCACCTTTATTTGTTAAAAAAAAAAAAAAAAGCAATGGCATCTTCAAGGATGAGTAAAGTGAAGTAATATATTTTACATTTGATAGTGAGGAAATCATTAATGACTTGGATTAAGGTAGTTCCTGGTGATTGGGGGGTTTTTCCTCTTAGCTGAAGGTAATTGTTGAGGACCAAACTCATCCAAATGGCTTTATCACTTACTGCTTATTGAACATGTTACTAGTTTTATTATAGCAGGACCCTTTATTAAATATGGAAGTTATACTGAAATTAATTTTTTTTTAAATGTCCCTGTTTTCTTGTTGCTATTTTGTTTTCCCCAGATTTATGTGCCTACTTGGAGGAAGAAGAGGAAAGTACCTCCGTTCAGAAATTTATAGACCATCTGCTCCATAAAGATGTGGTGGATTCTGGGATATTGGAAGATCTTGGAATGAAGGAAAACCAAGACAAGCAGCAGCAGAAGGATCCTCATCTTACCATGGAGATGAGACATAAGCAGGTGGGAGGGAAAAACAAAATTAAAATGGATAACAGGAAGCAGTCTTTGTGTAACACATTTAATAAGCTTAAATAAAGACTAAGACTTTATTATAAAAAAGGGTGCCATCTGTGGTTTGCTTAGAAAGAAAAAAAATAAAATATAAGAACTTCAGAAGAAAAATGATGTTCATGAACTGAGGTAAGAAGCAGCTTTTTAAGAATAATCTACCCTCTACCACGACCACTCCCCCAAAAAAGGAAAAATTGATTTTGACCAATAAAATGGTAAGCTAAACTGTATGAGTTTGGATGTGGCACTTCCTATTATAAATATGTAAATTGGGTCTTGCTTTAATTTGGTTTTTTAATTGTGACAGTATTTTGCTAATATCATGAATATTCTAGTGAATTTTATAATGATAATTCTTTCTTTTTTTTTTTTTTGGTTGTTAAGTACCCTTGAATTGGTTCTGACTCAAAGAAATCCTATATAGGGTTTCTGAGAAGTGGCTTGTGCTAACCACTTTTTGGTTAGCAGTTCAGTGCTTATCCTATAGTGCCATACCAGGACCCCTATTCTTTCTAGACTATTGAAACTCGCTCAATTTGTGATTATAGTTTAAAAGAGGACTGATCTGAATTAAATGTAGTTCAGCTGTTTTGAACTAGAAAGACAAGTGGAAAATTGGAAAAATTTCCAAAGGAACTAGAAAGACAAGTGGAAAATTGGAAAGTTCTCCAAAGGAAAGAGTCATTTATAGTGGTATCTCAACACCTTTTAGAGACATTTTAGCGATTCAGAGTGACTAAGTCTTTGTGCAGAATTAAGACTTACCTGGGATTAATGCCCATACTATACATGTGTGTGCTGTCTTTTTATAATGCTGAATTTCTGATTACCAGTTTGAAAAATCACTGCTTTCAACCATGAGGGTGAGCCCAATCTATGCACTGGGAATTGTGGGGAAGCAGAGATAGAAGTAGGACTTTGATTTGGATTTCTGGCAAAAGGGAGGAAAGAGAGTTTATGAGAGATAACTGTACTCTAGAAATCACATCAGAACTGGAGAATAAGATAAGAATAAACTTACGTGAGGCGGAAAAGAACCCAAACTACTGCCTTAGAGTCGGTTCTGGCTCATAGTGACCCTATAGGCTAGATAGAATTGCTGTCTAGAGTTTCCAAGCCTGGAAATCTTTATGGAAGCAGACTGCCACATCTCTCTTCTGTAGAGCAGCTAGTGGAGTAAAGCAAGTCTTTCAGTTAGTGATCCAGTGATTAACCCACTGTGCCACCGATGTTCCCTGCAGAAAGGAAAGGTCCACTCAATCCATAGCTAGTCATGCCTCTAAAGAATTAATAAGTTTGAAGGAAAATTAACAGGCTTGTTCTGTGGGTTTTATGTCTTTTATTTCCAAAATAAAAAATAATAATTGCCATTGGTATACAGCCACACCTTGAAAACCCTATGCAGGGTCCCTATGGGTTGAAACCAACTTAGTGGCAATTAACAACAACAAAAGCATACTTAAATAATAAAAGATATGAATAAAGGCTGTTGGTGTCCCTAAAAGCTGTATATAACTGTTCTATTTTGTTCTATGTTGTTGTTAAGTGCCATTGAGGCTGTTGCAACTCATAGGGACCCTATATAGTGTTTCCAAGGAAGATCTGGTAGGTTTGAACTGCCAACCTTGCGACCCAAACTGACCTTTCAGTCAAGCACATTATCCTGCAGCACTACACCTGGACTCCTAACCATTACAATATAGTCTCAAAAAAGAAGAGAAAAATCACTATTCTTTTTAAAATTGTAATTTGTATACAGACAGGGCCTCAGTAAATAGCAAGAATAAATACATTGGAAATTTTTGTGGGTAGGCAAGGAAACCCTATACATGGTCGCTATGAGATGGAACCGACTCAACAGCACTTAACAACAATAATCATTATTTAATAAATATCTAAACTTTGGCATTTGACCCACGAGATTCTCAACTTTTCATTGATGTAGATCACTTCCAGATTGTTTGTGCCATCTTACCTGACTTCACCTAAACATTGGTATTGACATTTACACAGGAAAGAAATTAATTTCCTCAATTTTACCAACAAACGGGGGTTGTATGCTAGAACGTTTCAAACTTTGTGTATTATTAACTGTAAGGTTGTGTAGATCTAAGGTTGTGCATATCCCTTTCTACTCAAAAGATTGCTATCCCCCCTTGTTGTATTCTCTTTTAGGTGAAAGAAAATCGCTTAAGACGCGAGAAAGAACTACAGCGCCATAGAATGGAAACAGCCCTGAAAAAATCAGCCTTCTTAGAGGCTCAGTGTTTGGTGCAGGAAGAAAAGAAAAGGAAGGCTCTGGAAGCCAAGAAAGAGGAGGAGGAGATTCAAAGGGAGATGGTAAAGCTGCGGAGAGAGATAATTGAGAGGAGACGCACTGTGGAAGAAGCATGGAAAACGTACGGCGGCCCTGATGAGGGAATTTTCTGTTTAGGTGGTCATTTTGCAAGTGCTCTAAAGTTTTTTAAATGCACGTTGTAATGACAGAACACAAAAGAGAACCCCCTGCCCCCCCCCCCCCACACACACACATACACACTCTCTTCCATCATCTTTACAAATTAACTATTTTCATTTTTCCTCCTGATCTGGGTCCCTTTACATTTGATTACCTAGTTGTAATCAAAATACCTTTAATTTGGTATATTCTTCTTATTGTAATTAATACATTGGCTGGATTCCTGAGGTCTGTATTATTTTGTTGAGTTCCCATACCATCATTTATGTAATGAACCACTCTACATTCTAGTAAGCACTTAGACTATTTCACACTTTTCACTAATATAATTACTTATGCAATGAACATCCTTAAACATAGAGCTTTTTCATTCTTTTTAATTATATTCTTAGGATAAAATTCTTAGGAGTGCAATTCCTGAGTTAAATGATATGAACTGTTTTATGACTCTTGGAACATTGCCAAAGTGCTTTCCAAATGGGTCTTACTTATTTACACTATTGCCAACAGTAGACCAGTTTACCACACTCTTCCCACCATTGGGAAGTATCATCATTTTCAGTATTTGTGCAATTTTAATAGGTGTGATGTTGGTTAATTTCATGTGTTTGGTTCTTTGAACATTTTTAAGAGTGAACATTTTTCTTTATGGTTGGTGCTAATTGTGCCTTGTACTATTGTGATTTGCTTCAGTGTCTTATTTTCCAATATGCATATGGAAAGTCACCGTTGCCTTGGTGGTGGAGGTATTAATGTGCCTGAGTCAGTTCCACCTCATAGGAACCCTGTATAGGGTTTCCAAGACTGTAAATCTTTACAGGAGCATTTCTGCTTCATTCTCTCATGGAGCAGCTGAGAGATTTGAACTGCTAACTTTGTGGTTAGCAGTCCAACACATAACCCACTATGCTACCTCGACTTCTTACCTTTTGTCTTGTTGTTATTGTTGTTGTTAAGTGCTGTCGAGTTAGTTCCAACTCACAGCAACCCTCTTTAGGGTTTCAGAGGAGTGGCTGGCAAGCTTGAACTGCTGACCCTGCAGTTCAAATGGACCTTGCAGTCCAGCATATTAACCTGCAGCGCCCTATGTGACAGAAGAGAAAACCAAAATAGCCCCTACAGGATACAGTACTATTATCAATCCTCCATGTAGACAATGGACTGCAAACCACAAGGTAAGCAGTTCAAACCCACCACCTGATCCTCAGAAACTCTATATAGGGTCACTGTGAGTTAGAACCAACTCCACAGCACTTAATCACAACAACAATGTAGAAGATGAACTTCATAACTGAAATAGTGGGTGTATTTATTCTGAGAAACAGCACTTTGTATAAACTGAAAATGCCTTGGGACAACGTGACTGAAGTGCCTAAATACTAAAACTCTGAGGCCAGAAAGACCTATCAGATAGTCCTTTCCCCTCCCATCATCCCACGGAGCTGTCCCCCTCTGTGTTCTTGATTGCTCTTATCCTACCCAATTTAAAACAGCTCTGCAGTGGACATGCGCTTCACTCTTCCAAGTGCAGACTCAGGCCTTCTTCAGACACCAGTCCTTTCAGAAAGTAATCACCAGTGTTTTAGCAAGTTCTTGATAAGATTGCTCCCAAGTGCTAAAATAAATTGTGAAAACAAGTAACATTTGATGATAGTAGGAGGCTCTACACTCAACAAATGTGCACTGACCTGACATTCCTTTTAAAAGTGAAAATCATGTCCATGGTTATAGTGACACAGAGAATTTGCTATACTTCTGAGTGTACTAAATGATTTTAACTTTCCAGAAAGCAATTTAGCAGTAAACAACAAGAACCATAAAAAGGGTTTTATCTCTTGACCTGGGAATTTCAGTGCTAAAAGAAGTGTCATAAGAAAATGTCAGAAATCCAGACAAAGATTTATGTATAAAGATAATTACAAACAAATAACCTGTAATGTTGTTAAGTGCCATCCAGTTGGCTCTTACTCATAGTGATTCTTTGTACGGTTTCCAAGGAGAGACTGGTGGGTTTGGACAGCCAGCCTGTGGTTAACATCCAATGTTTATCCTCCTAGGACTCCTCAAACCTAGTAACTGTTGTTGTTAAGTGCCATTGAATCCGTTCCAACTCATAACAACCCTGTACAGGGTTTCCAAGGAATGGCTGGTGGGTTTGAACCACTAACTTTGTAGTTAGCAGTTCAGTGCATATCCTATAGCACCACACCAGAATTAATAGCAAACATTAATAAATATTAGAGAAATTAGGAAATAATTGTTGAACAATGAAGTAGCAATAACATGTAGGATAAGTGCTGAATTACTAACCACAAGGTTGGCAGTTCAAACCCACCAGGCAGTTTAGTGCATATACAGGATCGTTATGAGTCGAAACTGACTCAACAGCACCAAAAAACAACATCTATATATATACACGTATCTATATAGATACAGGAGCACTGTATTTATGTATGAGCTAGGCTGCTAACCACAGGTTAGCAGTTCAAATCTACCAGTCACTCTGGGGGGAGAAAGATAAGACTTTCTGCTCCCATAATTATGTACAGCTTCAGAAACACTACACAGGGTCACTGAAGTCGGAACTGACATGATGACGCACACTACCATGTTGTTGTTGTTGTTAGGTGCCATCAAGTTGGTACCAACTCATAGCAACCCTATGCACAGCAGAACAAAACACTGCCCGGTCCTGGGTCAACCTCAAAATCATTGCTACTTTTGAGCCCGTTGATGCTGCTACTGTGCCAATCCATCTCATTGGTGGTCTTCCTCTTTTTCTCTGACCCTCTACTTTACCAAACATGATACCCTTCTCTAATGACTGGTCCCTCCTGACAGTATGTCTGGAGTATGCAAGATGAAGTCTGGCCATCCTGGCTTCCAAGGAGCACTCTAGTTGTACTTCTTCCAACACAGATCTATTTGTTCTTTTGGCAGTCCATGGTACTTTCAATATTCTCCTCCAACACCATAACTCAAAGGCATCAATTCTTCTATGGTTTTCCTTATTCCAAAAGGGAACAGCACACTCAGCATTTCTCAAGCTGAGGGAACTGAAGAAAAAATTCAAACTTCGACTTGTGGTACTGAAGGATTCTATGGTCAAAGTACTGAATGATGAAGAAAGCATCAAAAGAAGATGGAAGAAATACACAGAGTCACTGTACCAAAAAGAAATTGTCAATGTTCAACCATTTCAAGAGGTAGCATATGATCAAGAGCCAATGATCCTGAAGGAAGAAGTCCAAGGTACATTGAAGTCATTGGCAGAGAGCAGAGAACCGGGAATTGATGGAATACAAATTGCAATCTTTCAACAAAGTAATGCAGCACTCGTGGCAACAAAGTAATGTTAACCACACACTCATCTATGCCAAGAAATTTAGAAGACAACTCCCTGGCCAACTGACTGGAAGAGATTCCTATTTGTGCCCATTCTAAAGAGAGAAGACCCAACGGAATGTGGAAATTATCGGACAATATCATTGATATCCCATGCAAGTAAATTATTACTAAAGGTAATATAGAAACGGCTGCAACCATACATTGACAGAGAACTTCCAGAAGTTCAAGCCGGTTTCAGAAGAGGACGTGGAATGAGGGATATTATTGCTGACATCAGATAGATCTTGGCTGAAAGCAGAGAATATCAGAAAGATGTTTACTTGTGCTTTATTGACTATGCAAAGGCTTTTGATTGTGTGGATTATGACACGCTATGGATAACATTGTGAAGTATGAGTATTCCTGAACATAGATAGATAGATGATAGATAGATAGATAGACTCCTGGTGTAGTGCTTCAGGATCAGCACTGGACTGCATATCATGAGATTGGCAGTACAGACCCTATCTAGGGTCAATCTGACTCGATGGCACTAAACAACAACAATAATATAAATACAATATAATACGAAGGCGGTGCTGTCTGGTGGATTTTGACTCATGGTGACTATGAGTTGAAATAGACCAGACAGCAACTAAGTTGGATTTGGTTCTTTAACTATGAGCTTTCTTGAATTGGATAATGAAAGAGGAATGGCCTGGATGAGTAAGAATAGATAAATGGGTGAAAAAGAGAATGACCAGAAAGAGGTATCCATGAGCAATAAAGTTATTAAGTGATTCTGATTACAAGGAGTCCATGACTTAACCACAGAGTTACGACAGACCACATTTATGACTATGGTGGTATTTTGTTTTTGTTTTTAGTACAACTTATCAGTAGCAATATATACTACCTACAGTGTTACAGCATGTAATTCTCAGATGTTCAGTGTTATGATTTACTGTTCAAAACACTGCCGTATAGCAGGCCTGGTCCATGATCAGAAGTCATAAAGCATAGAAAGTTGGGTAGTGTTCAACTCTTAACAACAATTGAACTGTTCATGTGCCCAACAGCTGTTGAAACTCCAACTTCATTGTTATAACACTGATGGCAACTTCATTGTACAATTTTGTATCATCAGAAGTATAATGTAAGATTTCTGGTGGTTGAAAATTGTATTTTTCATCTTCTGTTATTTTGTACCATCAGAAGCATCAGTTGTTAATTTCATCATCAGAGTACGTTTTTCTGATTTGTATATACTGGGCTGGTTCAAACCCACCAGCCACTCCTCTGAAGCCCTAACCCTATACAGGGTCACTTTGAGTTGGAATTAGTTTGATGGCATTCAACAATAACAATAAATGTACGTATTAAAATATATCTGTAAGTTTATATGTAATATTACCAACTCCCAAAAACAAAGATCAGATTTATAAAGATACTGATTTTTAATGAAAACAACAACAAAAAAGGTATTCAACGTATATCAGAACCAACTTAATGAAAGAGTCAGAATGAAATGGAAAGCCATTGTAGGTCAGGGACTGTCTATACTACCCTGGAGCCCTTTTACTTACTGTCATTTAGTTCAATTATTCTATTTTCAGCTATTTTAAATTATTCTCGATTCTATTTTTTCTTTACTTATTTGTACCTGATTATTTCATTGATTTTTCTGCCTAGAAACCTTGTAAAAACCTTGTGGTAAGACTCTCTTTACTTTCTTACTTAATGATCATTCCCCCACCCACCCATCCCACATACTCACACTTTATTTCTTTTTATTCTTATAAAGGGAAGGAATTTATTTATATCTATATGAGAAGATAACTAATAGCCATTAACTCTCAAATCTTAATCAAATATTATTCAATGCTAAACTTAATAAAAGGAGCTCTGGTAGCGTAGTGGTTGCGAATCGGGCTGCGAACCTTAAGGTCAGCGGTTCGAAACTACCAGCTGCTCCGCGGGAGAAAGATGAGGCTTTCTACTCCCATAAAGATTCACACCCTCGGAAACCCTGTACAGGTTCGCTATGGGTCGGAACCGACTCGACGGCACTTAACAACAACAACAAACTTAATAAAACTCCTTTACTGAAATACCTATATAGCTTTCTGCTTTTAAAACAGAGCCACATCTAGAGAAATAACAACAGAACTGTGTCTTATGATAGAGAATGCAGTGTTCATTCCACTCTACTAGATTGTAAGTATTTATTTTTAAGTCTATCATAGACACCTATATTTTTGAATTATTATTAATAGGGAGAAGAAAAAACAAGAAGAAAATTCTCAAAGGAAGCCAGAAAAAGATGTGTTTGAAAGTGTTCATACTCCTCTGGATGAAGAAAAATTGGCAAAAGAAAGAAAGAGAAAAGTAAAAGAGTTGTTAATCCAAATTTCTAAGGAAAACCACCAGGTAGGAATTTTAACATCTCTTTTTTTTTCAGCATTCTGTAGTATACATAACAAAGAGCTCTGTAAGAGATGAGACAAAGTCACCAGAAAATCCAGTTATCACAAATAACAAAGTTGCCCACCTTGTTAGTTCTGTGGTGCTTAGCTGATGAACTGGGCGAACCCTCAGTCCCCTTTTCCAGGCCTGTTCTTTATATGCTCTGCTGTGATCCTGGGGAACTAGAACATGAATTTGGGATTCCTTCCTAGGCTAATTTGTAATTTTTTAAAGGGTGGCTTCCTCACTGGACCTTAAGTATCCAAAGTCTGAAGAGTCTTTTGGGTTATTCAGAAGATAGAAAAACTGTTTGCCTTTTGGTAGCTCAGATCCTAAATCAGTGATAAATTCATATATGTGTATCTCCTTTTAATGTTCTACATTTTATTTTACTTTTTTCTCTCTCTCTTTCACTTTCACTTCCTGTGACATTAGAGGGCCATTTTTTATTGACAAATGAGAATCCTCCCTAGACCACTCACACAGAATAAGTTTTTTTAATGAAGTATTATTGGTGAAAGTATTAATTTGGAGCTTGTAGTATTTCAGGTGAAAGAAATAACTTGGAGGATATGTAAATTAAAAGGTTAGATGAGAAATGATAAATATGTATGTCTTTGTATCTTCCACAGAGCCCACCCTAGGGCCTTGGTGGTGGTGGCGGTAATGTGCCATGGAGTCGGTTCCGACTCATAGAGACCCTGTATAGGATTTCTGAGGCTGAAAATCTTTACAGGAGCAGAAAGCCTCCCCTTTCTCCCACAGAGTGGCTGATAGTTTTGAACTGCTGACCTTGAGGTTAGCAGCCCGACTCATAACCACTATGCCACCAGAGCTCCTTCCCTTGGGCCTTCTTGTTGTGAAGCGCTGTCGAGTCGATTCTGATCCATAGCAACTCTGTATAGGGTTTCCTGAGGAGCAGCAGCTGGTGAGCTTGAACCACCGACCTTGTACTTCAAATGGCTTTGAAGTCTGATGCATTAACCCACAGAGCCACACCAGGACTCCTCCCTAGGGCCTTCTTGTTGTTGTTAAGTACCGTGGAGTCAATTCTGACTTATAGTGACCCTGTACAGGGTTTCCGAGGCTGCAAATCTTTAAGGGAGCAGAATGCCTTATCTTTCTCCTGCTGAACAACTGGTAGTTTCCAACTGCTGATCATGAGGTTAGCAGCCCGATTCGTAACCACTACGCTACCAGAGCTCCTTAGGCACTGCTAAAATTCATTGAAAGCTAATGGGAGGGATCTTTGAATGAATGGATTTAACAAGAGAAAAAAGAATGTCAGGAAGATATTGAATGAACATAAGATATTGAAAGAACACTTACAAATGCCATGGAAATCGGTGGTAGGGATTTGAATATGAAATGGGTAACTGAGATATGAGAAAGGAAATAAAATTTCAAAACAATAAAAGAAAAAATATAGATATGATTGATGGTTGCATACTGGACCTAGTGACAGGAAGTCCTAATTGTTCAGATATTAAACAACTAGAGTTTGGTCAGAGTTTTTTGTTTTAATAATTGAGTGAGAAATGTGATCGAAATGTTAAATGTTAGGAGTAACATTTTGAAAAAGATTGTTAAGGACTCTTAGATGCTATGTCCTGCTTGAGAGATGGTGGTAGTGTGTCCTCTTGTAAAGATTGTTCTGTTTTCTAGGAAGGGAAGTTAATACTAAAGGGGACGGCTTGAGAACTCATAAGCAAAACCTCCACGTTATCTTCTCACCCAATCAGCAAGAGACAAATAAGACAAAATTATTTGCCCCTATAAAATTAATTTTCTAATTCTTCTCAATGTTATCCATAGTTTGTCCTTATCTACACAGTTGGAATCTTTTGCATACTCAATAAAGCACAAGTAAACACCTTTCTAGTATTCTCTGCTTTTTGCCAAGACCCATTTGACATCAGCAAAGGTATCTCTACTTCCGCATTGTCTTCTGAATCTGGCTTGAATTTTTGGCAGTTCCCTGTTGATGTACTGTTGCAGCCATTTTTTAATTATCTCAGCAAAATTTTACTTGCAAGTGATACTAATGATATTGTTCGGTGATTTCCACGTTCCCTTGTGTCATCTCTCTTTGGAATAGGCGCAAATATGGATTTCTTCCAAATCAGTTGGCCAGCTAGCTGTCTTCTAAATTTCTTGGCATAGAAAAGTGAGCACCTCCAGTGCTGTGCAAGATTTCAATTTGTATTCCGTCAATTCCTTGGTTTTCACCAGTGCAGCTTATACTTCTTCCTTCAGTACCATAGTTTCTTAATCATATGCTGTCTTTTGAAATAGTTGAATATCAACCATTTATTTTTGGGTACTATGACTCTGCATATTCCTTCTATCTTCTTTTGATGCTTTCTGCATCATTCAATATTTGGCCCATAGAATCCTTCAGTCTTGGAAGTGAAGCTTGAATATTTCTTCAGTTCCTTCAGCTTGAGAAATACTGACGATGTTCTTTCCTTTTGGTGTTCTAACTCCAGGTCCTTGCACATTTCATAATACTTGGCTTTGTTTTCTTGAGCTGCCCATTGAAATTTTCTATTCGGCTCCTTTATTTCCTCATTTCTTTCATTTGCTTGAACTTCTTTTTCATTCAGGAGCAAATTTCAGAGTCTCTCCTGATATCCATTTTGATCTTTTCTTTTCTTTCCTGTCTTTTAACATGACCTTGTGCTTTCTTCTTGTATGATGTTCTTGATGTCATTCCACAGATCTTCTGGTCTTTGTCATTAGTGTCTAATGAATCAAATCTGTTCTTGATATGATTGCCAAATTCAGATGGGTTATATTCAAGGTCATATTTTGGCTCTCATGGAGTTGTTTATTTTCGTCAACTTTAACCTGAACTTGCATATCAGCAGTTGATGATCTGTTCCACAGGCAGCCTCTGATCTTGTTTTGGCTGATGACATCTCTTCCCATATGTAGTCAGTTTGATTCTTGTGTATTCCATCTGTGAGGTCCATGTGTATATTTGCTTTTTATATTGTTTAAAAAAGATACTTGCAATGAGTCAAGTTGATGATCTTCCAAAATTCTATCATGCAATCACCAGCAGCATTTCTATTTCCAAAGCCATATTTTCCAGCAGTTGATCCTTTCTCTTTATTTCCAAACTTTGCTTTCCAATTACCAGTAATTATCAATGCATCTTGATTACATGTTTCATTAATTTCAGGCTGAAAAAGTTGGTAGAATTCAATCTCATCCTTGCTGGCTTTAGTGGAAGATATATGAATTTGAAAAATAGTGGAATTAACTGATCTTCCTTCTAAACATATGAGTATTCTATCACAGACAGCATCATACTTCAAGATATATCTAGAAATATTCTTTTTGATGATGAATACTATGCCATTCCCCTTGAATTTGTTTTTCTCAGCACAGTAAACCATATGATTGTCAGAGTCACAATGACCAGTACCAGTCCATTTTTTCTCACTAATGCCTAAGATACTATTCTTTATGCATTCCATTTCTGTTTTCACAATTTCCAATTTTCCTAGATTCATACTTCATACATCCCATGTTGTGATCATTAATTAATTTTTGCAGTTGTTACTCCACATTTTGAGTTGTGCCCCATCAGAAAATGGAAGTCCTGAAAACTTTCTCCTTTCACGTCACTATGGTCAGTTCTATTTTGAGGAAGTAGTTCTTCCACGGTCATGTTTTGAATGTCTTCCAACCTGAGGGACTCATCTTCTGGCACTATATCTAACAGTGTTCTGTGTGTTTCATTATCAGTATTCTGGTGCTACTGACAGTGCTCCACTACTATTCATAAGGTTTTCAATGGCTAACCATTCGGAAGTAGTCCGCTTCTCTTAGTCAATTTTAGTCTGGAAGATCTGCTGGAACTGTCCACCATGGGTTATCCTTCTATTTTTTCAAATACCCGTGGCATTGCTTCCAGCATCACAACAATATGTAAGCAACCACAGTATGACCAACTGACAGATGAGTGGAGACATGTCTCCTTAGCCTCTTTCAATCTGTAACATAATTCCTTAGTCTTTCCTTGTCTTATATGACATTGACATTTTGAGGAGTTCTAGGGTTTAAAATTAAGAAAGGTGTACGACACAGGTTGAATTATTTCACTATATTTATTCAACCTGTATGCTGAGCAAATAATCCAAGAAGCTTGGTTCTATGAAGAAAAACATGGCATCAGGATTGCAGGAAGACTCATTAACAACCTGCGCTATGCAGATAATACAACCTTGCTTGCTGGAAGTGAAGAGGACTTAAAACATCTACTGATGAAGATCAAAGAGCACAGCTTTTGGTATGGAGTACATCTCAATGTAAAGAAAACAAAAATCCTCACCACTGGACCAATAAACAACATTCGTATCAATGGAGAAAA